TAAAAAATCTACTAAAAAGCTGTCGAAATATATTTAATAATAAATCTAATTTTTATTAAAACATTATTTATATACTATAAATATTATAGTATTAAAAATATAACTAGATCTAAAATTTTTTATATTAATAATATTATAATTCTTAATACTAGTTCTTAAGTAATATAAATAAAAAAAGATTTTAAATATAATAGATATATCAGCCAAATAATAGTAAGTAATTATTAATATTATATTAAAAAATAGCAGAAATAAGAATTTTAAGAAAATAAATTAATAAATAAAATATAAAATAAATAATAAAAATAAAAGTAAAAACAACAAAAAAAAATATAAAAAAAATTTAGTAGAAAATTAAGATATAAAAATAAATAAAAATATATTAATTTTTTTTATTTATATATATACTTTATATTAGATTCTGATTAGATTAATAATAAAATATATACTTTATTTATTATTTTAAAATCTTTTATCTATAAAATATATAGTTTATTAAATAATTTTTTTATTATTATAGTACCGAACTTTATTATTTAAAGAATATTACTAACAGAAATATCTAATTAGAATAAATAATAAAGCTATTTATAATTATATTATTATATTAAATAGTTTAGTTTGGCGGAAAAGTATAATTATTATATAATATTTATTATTATAGTAGTTTATAATTATTATTATAGCAGCTGTGGAAGCCGTTCAAATGATCGAAATCAATCCATTTAGTGCTAAGATACAAGAATTTCAAGCATAAGGAAAAAAAAAGAGGAAGGGAAAAAAGAAACACAAGCCCGTAGCTTATCTGTTGCAGGGCAGCTCGGAAAACAAATAAAATAAATACTATAAAGACAATAAGCAGACTAACTGGATTTGCTGGGTTTTTAGGGTTAAATAGGTCAATTAAATAAATTGGGTCGATGGGGTATTCGGGGTGCTTAGGGTCAGTTGGATATGCTAGGTGTACTGGGTTAACAAGGTATACTAGGTGTTGTCTTCACACAGCTATTTTAGGATTAATATAGATTTATTAAAATTTTAATTTAGATATTTATATTATTATATTATTGATTTCTTTTTTTATATAATATATTATTCTGAGATTTTTTAGAAAAGAAGATTTCTTAAGAATTAGTCTTAAAATTAATAAAAGACTGCTTTTAATTATTTTGCTTGTCTTGTCTAACCAGTATGTCTACTATATTAAGTAGTTCCTAACAATATTATTCGGAAGTACTTATAATACTTATATATAATTAGTTATATAAAGATAAAATTAAAAATTATGGTTGGTTGTATAATCTATAATAATTCAGCTTAGCAAAAAAAATACTTAATAATAGCGTCAAAGAGACGTCTCCGGTAATATAAAAAGTGGTTAGAAGTAAGTAATAAGATATATAAAAAATTAATAAATAGAATAATTAAAAAATTAATAAATAAGAATATAGTAAAATATATAAGATTAATAAATAAAAGATTAAAAAAAATATATTAGTAGTATTATAAATATTCTACTAATAAAATATTTATTTAAAATAAATAAACCAATATAAAGCACTTTTTTGGTAATATTTAATTAAATAAATAATTTTTAGATAGACCGAGAATTATAGCAAAATATACTACTAATATTAGATTTTAAGATCTTAAAAAATAATAATTTATAAATAAATAATTATTTTCTTTATTTTAGCTATCTTAATATATATATAAGATCGCCTTTCCGAAGCAGTAAGAAAGGGCAGTATCCAAGCCGAGAAAAAAGGCTCGAGGTGTCGAAGGCAATATTAATACAGTACCGAACTCTACTATTTAAAAAATATTACTAGTAGGAATATTTAATTAAAATAAATAATAAAGCTATTTATAGCTATATTATTATATTAAATAATTCAGCTTAATAAAAAAATATAATTATTATATAATATCTACTATTATAATAATTTATATCTACTATTATAATAATCTATTCTAGAATTAATATAGATTTATTAAATTTTTAATCTAAATATTTATATTATTATATTACTTATCTCTTTTTTTTGTATAATATATTATTCTAATAATTTTTAGAAAAAAAGATTTTTTAAAGATTAGTTTTAAAATTAATAAAAAACTATTTTTTAACTATTATACTTGTCTTGCCTGTGAAGGCAACACCCAGTACATCTTGTTAACCCAGTATATCTAGTATATCTAACTGATCCTAAGCACTCCGAATACCCTATTAACCCGATTTATCTAATTAATCTATTTAATCCCGAAAACCCAGCAAACCTAGTTAGTCTGCTTACTATTTTTATAATATTTATTTTATTTATTTTTTAAGCTGCCCCGTAATAGATAAGCCATAAGCTTATATTTTTTTTTTTCTTTTTTTTTCTTTTATGCTTAAAATTCTTATATCTTAATATTAAATAGATTAATTTTAATTATTTAAACAGCTTTTATATAATTTTAAATATTTTTGTAATTTTTGTTTCTTTTCAAGTCTCTTGATAAAACTTATAGTTAATTTAATATATAAATAACTATATACAGACTCGGAAACTCTTTCTGTATACATATTATTAATAATAATAAATAATTTTAGAAAACTATAATTATAATTCTTATAATAAAGAAATAGATTTAACTTAATTTTATTAATTCTTTTATTACTGTGGCTGTAGGCTGCACGGTAACTAACTAAATAAAAAAAAAACTAAACTATTATTACAGCTGGAGACTGTATAATAACTAAAAAATTAAAAAAATATATTATAATAGCTTACAACACGCAGGAACCGAAAATAACCAAGTAAAATAGTAAAAAACTAATATTATTAATAAATAATATCTAAAAAATTTTAAAAAAAAATATATCCCGTAAAAAATTTAATAAATTTTATAAAAAAAATCTAAAATATATTTTTAAGATAATACTACAGATCTATAATAAATTTAAAAAATAGATTAAAAGCCTGTCTAATAAAATAAATATTTTAAAAAAAAAATTAGTATAGGCTGAAATAGATAAGAAAATCTTAATTTAGAATTTAGATACTATAAAATCAAAAAAAGATTATATTATTACATAAAAAAATACTACTCTAGTAATATATAAAAATATAAATCAGATATTTATAAATAGCTGAAAAATACTGAAGATTCCCGATCTTTTTATATTTAGTAATAAAAAAAATATTATTTTTAATAATTAAAAGCTTGTGATAAAATAGAAGCTTAAAACTAATATTAATTATTTTAAAAATCTAGCTATTTAAAAAATATATATAACTAGCTGTTGTAAAAAAAATATTAAATAATATTTATTATTTTAACTAAGAATAGAAGCTAACTATTTATTTAAAAATATATTTAATATTTTTATATATTTTACTAATATTTATATTAATCTGAACCGACAGCAAAACATCTGCTTAAAATATATATAACTTAAAATAAATTCTAGCTAAAAGTTTTATAATTTTTATATCTAATTCTGCTATCTAGCAGAAAAAGCAGATATTAATATTAATTTTTAAAAGTTTAATCTTTATTAGAAGCTATCTTCTAAGCTTAAAAAACTAATTTTAGTCGAATTTTATAAATTAAATATTAATTTTAAGTAGTTTATTACTATCTATACCAATATATTAAAAAGTATAAATAAAAATATAAAGTATTATCAACTAATTTTTTTTTAGTATGAAAAATTAGTATAACTATTAATAATCTATTTATTTAAGTTAAAAAAGACACGAAAGAAATCTCTAGATTCTATATAAATAATAAAATATAAGTAGTACTGTTTGCTGAAGAAAAATATTTTTATTATAAAAAATAAAAATATTTAAATTATAATTATTCTAAAAAGAAGCCTTAGATTTAGTTAATCAAAGAAAATATTATTAATAATTCAGAAAAAAACTTTGTTTAGAAAAAGTCTTTTTTTTAGACGAACTTAGTATTAACTATAGATATATTAATTTAAGAAAGTTATTAGAAAATCCGGAAAATAGCTTTATAATTTAGATTTTTATTTTGAATAATATTATAGTAGTATCTGTAAAAATATTAATAAATATTAAAATAAATATTTTTATTTATATTAATATAAATTATATTATATAAATAAAAAAATTTCTAGAAACCACTGCAGCCAGACTTAAGAAATCAAAAAATATTATTAGATTTAATAAAAAGACCGCTATATCTCTTACTTATATAATTTAATTCAATCTGATAATAGACGGATGGTTATTTAAAAAAATATTATTTCTAATTCTAAATCTTAAATCCTATAATATAATATTTCGTAAGATATAATTAGGCGAACAGAACCTATTTTTAAATTATAAAAATAAGTATTTAATATAATTTTAAAATCTTTTTTTATAGAAATAAGTTAAGACTAAATTTTTAAAAACTGTTTTTTTTTAACTAATTAGTAATTAGAAGATAAATTAAGATTATTAAAAAAATATAAAAAAGCAAAACTATAAGATAAATAAAAAAAACAAAAAATAACTAGTTTAAATTCTAAAATAAAGTACTTTTTAAATCTATAAAAAAATATAATAAAATTATTATAATATATAAATCAAAAACTTAAGAAAAAATCTATAAATAATCAGATTCTAAATAGACCGAAAATTATTTTAAATATAACCCTATAATCCTTTTCTACCAAAATTAAAATTATATTAATAAAAATAGTTGAATTTTACAGATATTTAAAGAGATTAAAGATATTTATTATATTATTTATAAAAATTAAAAAAGCTATTAATAATAAGATCTGAAAAAAAAATCCAGCAAGTAAACTAGAAAAAATTAAAAAAATCTTATCTAAATAATATTATAATCTAGCTAATATATTTTTAAAATAAGCCTTAGACATCTTGCTTTTAAACTGTATATATAATTATAAAATTTATTTAAAAAATAATATTCTAATTAGAATCTTTTTTTTATACTAAATAACTATAAAGAAATTAGAAGCAGCTTAAATCTATATTAAAAAAAATCTAAGTAAAAAGTTTATAGTTTCTAGTTCTACTTTTTTTATATCTCCAATTCTTATAGCTAAAAAATTTAAAGAAGAATTAAAACTATATATAAACTATCAAAAACTTAATATTTTAATAAAAAAGAATCTATATCCACTTCTGCTAATTAATAAAATTCTAAACTAACTAAAAATAGTAAAAATCTTTATTAAATTTAATATTAGATAAGAATTTTATTAAATTAGAATATATATAGATTTTGAGAACTTAACTATTTTTTAAATCTATTATAGTATATATAAATATAAGATTTTTTCTTTTAGATTAATAAATAAACCTGCTGCTTTTTAAAGATTTATAAATAAAATATTAAATAATTATTTTAATCTGTTTATAATAGTATATATAAATAATATTTTAATATACAGTTAAAATCTAGCAGAATATAAATTATATATATAATATATTTTTTAAAAACTATAAAAAGCAGGACTGTAAGCTGCTATTTATAAATATAAGTTTTATATTATAAAAACCAAGTTCTTAAAATTTATAGTTTTTATAAAGAAAATTAGTATAGATTTAGAAAAGACTTTTATTATATAAGATTAGACTATTTCTATAATAATTAAAGAAGTTTAATTATTTCTAAAATTTTGTAACTTTTATTAATAATTTATTAAGACTTATAATCGGATTATTAAATTTCTAATTCTATTAATTTATTAGAATATTTTTTTTATATAAAATAGTAACTGCTAAATAGTATTTAAATTATTAAAATAATTTTTTATATTTATACCGGTGTTAAAATATTATAAGCCTTTAAAATCTATTTAAATAGAAATAAATATCTCAGATAAAATAGTTACTAAAATATTAATATAAAAAAATAAAAACTAGTAATATTCTATTATATTTTTTTCAAAAACTATAGTACCAGCTGAACGAAACTATAATATTTATAATAAAAAACTTTTTATAATAGTTTGTTTTTTTAAAGTATAAAGAATAGAATTAAAAAAACTATTTAATATAAAATAATTTAAGATTCTTACTGACTACTAAGTTCTTAAATATTTTATAACCATAAAAAAACTAAATATATAGTAAGTAAAATAAACCAAATTTTTATTCTATTTCTATTTTTAAATCTATTATTAATTAGAAAAAAAAATATTCTAGCCGACGCTTTAATCTGCTAAAACCAAGAAAATATTATTTTAAATAAATAAAAACAAATCCTGCTATAACTAGAATAATTAGATTTAAATATCTATTTAGATAATATCGCACGCCTGGCACCTTTAAAAAAATAATATAAATTATTAATTAGATTTTAAAAATAAATTATATTTTTATTAATTCTGCAGAAGCCTAATATTTTTTTTTAATCTAAAAAGTAATTATAAATTATATAATAGTTTACTGTTAAACAAGTTTCGACTAATAGTTTTAAATATAAATAATATAAAAATATAACTTCTAAATAAAATATATTAATAACTGTTAATAGTTTATTTAGAATAGATAAAAATCCTTAAACTTATAAAATAATAATATTATTAGAATATATAGAACAAAGATATATATAGATATCTAAATAACTATATAATATATAATAGAAAAAACTACTGAAGAGATCTTTTTCCCGGACTATTAAATTTATTACTGATATTTAATTAATTATAGTAATATATTTTAATAGACTTCTACTTTCTTTTAATAAATAGGTATAAATATAATATAGTATATATAGTTATAAACCGGTTTAATAAACAGATAGTTTTAATTTCTTATATAAAAATAATTATTATAAAGAAAATAGCGGTATTATTTCTTAAATATATTTATATATAAATAGAATCTTTTAATATAATTATATTAGATTATAAATCCTAATTCGTCTCTAAATTCTAAATAGAACTATATAGAATCTTATAAATTAAACTTAAGTTTTCGACAGTATACTATTTATAAATAAACAGCTAAACAAAAAATATAAATTAATATCTAGTTTAAAAACATATTTTTTTTATAAATTATTTTTAAAATAATTAATCAAATATATTACTAATAATAGACTTCGCCGCTGCTTATTTATTATATATCTTTTTAGAAATCTTATTTTTTTAAGCTAAATATAGCTATAAACTATAACTTTTATTTAACTAAATAAAATTATTAAAAAAAAAGTTAGAAATTAAAGCTATTAAAACAGCCTGTTAAACTACTCTTTAATTATAAAAAATATAAAACTTCGTAAAAAAATATAGTCTAAATATAAAAATAGTAAATATTTAATATTAACTATTACCGGAAAAACACAGCTTTTTAAAAAAAAAAAAAGTATTCGTGGACTATATAAATTAAAATTAAAACCAGCTATTAAAAAAGTTGGTAGATAAGTAGTATAAATCTTATAAGATTTTAAATAAAGTTAAAAATATATACTGTTTAGATCTTTTATTCTCAGTCTGTATTTATTCTGTTTTTTATTTTAAAAAATTATATTATACAGCTATGCTAGAATCTATACCGAAACAGATTTTAGACTAAATAATTCTAATAATAGTTTAAAAAAAACCGAGTATAAAATTAACAAGATCTTAGTATTATAAATTTACTGAAAATATTTATTTTATTAGATTATCTAAAAAAACTATAATACTACAGATAATATTTAGTATTTAGTTAAAAACTTTTATAACGCGGTTAATTTTCTAAAAAACTTTTATAATATATATTCTAAATATTTAGATTCTTCGAAATATTTTTAAGCTTAGTTTACTACTATAAAAGCCGACGATCTGTTAACAGACTATTTAAATAATAATTTTTTAAGTATAATAAAAACTTCTACTAAAATTACTAGACGCCCAGAAAGAAGACTAAAAAAATATCTATTATTTATAGACAGTTAAAACTAAAAAGAAGAATTATATAAAAATAATATCTAGTATATCTTATTAATCTAATATATTTAGTATATTCAACTAACTTTAAGCACCCCGAATATTCTATTAACCCAATTTATTTAATTAATCTATTTAATCCCGAAAATCTAACAAACCTAGTTAGTTTATTTACTGTCTTTGTAGTATTTATTTTATTTATTTTCCGAGCTATTTTATAATAAATAAGCTACGGGCTTATATTTTTTTTTTCTTTCTTTTCTTCTTTTTCTTATGCTTAAAATTCTTATATCTTAGCACCAAATAGATTGATTTCGATCATTTAAACGGCTTCCACATTGCCTAACCAGTGTGTCTACTGTGTCAAGTAGTTTCTAACATTAATATATATATTCTTATATATAATAATTTAAGTTAAAAAATAACTTAATAAAAAAATTTTATTTTATTTTTTTTAATAGCTCTAGGAAAATATTATTTTAAAATATTAAAATAAGTATAAAACTTATATAGATCTTAATTATCTTTTTATTAGATTTTTTCCAACTGGCTGATAACATCAGATTTAAAAATAATAATATTTTAAATTAAAAATAAAATCTATTTTAAAAATACAGGCTATAAATAGCTAATATTTTTTTATTTAAACAGCAGTTTATTAAAATATTAATATTATTTTTACTAATAAATTATACTTATATAACTTATAGCTTTAAAAATTTTATAATAATTAATATTAAATTTAGCAGATATTCTTTAAAAATTATAATCCAAATTATAAAACTATTCTTATTAATTCTAAATATTAAAAAAAGTTTAAACTGTAGAATATTCTTGATTTTAATAATTATTTTGGAATTATATAAAAAATATAAAAATTTCTGCTGGTAATCTAATATTAGTTTAATATTATTTTACTAAATCTTTTTTATAATTCGGCAGCTTGGTACTATAAATACTAATAATTTTAGAAATAACTAATAATATTTTTAACTATAGTAAGATCTTTTAAGAAAAAATCTAAGATTATAAAAAATAAAAATTCTTTAGAAATAAAAAAACTTTTCGGTTTTAAATTGCTATTTTAATATAATTATTAAAATAATATACTATATTCTATAGGTAACTAAAAAAAATTAAAATTATTAAGAAAAAAAGATTAGTTAGATATAGAATAATAACAGTCTAATAAATTTAAAACTAATTTTCATTCTTCTATAGTCTAGCAAAAAAAAGAATTTAATATATAAAAGGAATTAGAATTATTAATATTATAACTACTATATAGGGAAGATATAAGAGACTTATAGGCGGCCAACTAGGGTGTTGAGAGTTATCCGTGACAAATATACTTAGCCTCCCAGCCTCCCAGGTTCTCTATTAAATAAACAATTTCTTTATCTAATCAATCCTCGCTTGCAGCGATTATTCACATTAAATATAGTAACTACTACTAAATTAAGTCTAGTTAAAATATTTTAAAAAAGTTTTATTTATTTAAATATTAATATTATAAAGCTATTTTTAAGCAGTATAACTTATAATATATTATATTAATAAGTTAATATATATTATTTAACTAAGAAAATTAGTATAGTTTAATCATTTTTGGAATATATTTTTATATTATTATTAGAATTTATCCTAAAATACAAGTTCCTATAGAAAGATTCTTCTTATATTAAGATTATATTAGAGATTCTAGAACTATAAAAAGCTGAAAATATAGAAATATATTCTAAAAGTTATTAAATTATACTAATCTTTTTAACTGAAATATATATATAAACTTATTAATATAATATATTATAAATTATATTATTTGAATATAACTTTATAATACTAATATTTAAATAAATAAAACTTTTTAATATATTCTAAACTAGATTTAATCTAATAATAGTTATTATACTTAATTTTATAAATTATATTTTTTAGAGTAATATTTACTATATCTAGCTTTATAATTTATTTTTTTAGACTATATTTATATTATATAAAATATTATTATACCCAGTTTATATCAAGATAATTATTATAGTTTAATAACTTTTGGGATATACCTCCGTGCTGCTCTTAGGGTTCTTTATTGAGGATTTTTCTTATCCTTTTTATTAGAATTGACAAGATCTGTATTGATATTAGAGTATTTTATTCTGTACTAGAATATTACTATCCAGAGAATAAAAGATTTATGAGGCTTACCGCCTACTATTGAGAGTTTAGTTACATACTTACAGCCGGTGTCAATAGCAGTTATCCGATAATCCCCCGCTTACACTTGTAACTTGGAATTAATTAGACTACTGTGTAATACGGAATACAGTGGGAAGAAAGCAGGTAAATTACTATGAAGTACGCGGCATGGTTGCAGGTCGGCTGTACTGTTTTTTCGGTTCACGTGGAACGAAAACTGCTTAATAAGCAGCCTGGTCACATGATTTCCAAGCGACCCTGTCATCTATATAAACAGAAAATTTTATTTCACGCCATCCTTTTCAATACTCTACTTCTAAGTAATTTTTCTAAATTATTTTTTAAATAGTCAGAAGATATTTTAGAAAAATTACTTAGAAATAAGAGTATTTAAGAATGTAAGAGGAATTTGAATTTTAATAATAAAAAACAGTAATTCATAGGGTTGTGTAGAACGTTTCTACTTATATAAAGGGCTTGACATCACGTGCCGCGGGAACGTTCCACCTGAGCCTAAAAAAACGTTCAGATGACCTGTGTTCACGTACGCGGCGGAGTAACTTAATTTTTCAAGCTGACAAAGCAGAGTGTTGCAAACTACATTCGCAGGTCCAACTGATCTCGTTTACCGGAACGGAAAATTACTCACCGAGCCAAGCTAACAAGTTCCACACAACAACTCTCCCCTTCATTTCAGCTACCTATAAGAACCCCTTCTTAACCTAATTGCGGTCTGTTTCCTTTCCTACATGACAGTTGATACAGTGTCAAACAGAAGACATTTTTATGTGAATGTTAAGAATAGCGCCTTGCAAAACACAAAGAAATATCTGCGGCTGTCTAGTCCCAGACTGAATGACTACATTATGGATCAATTTTGGTCTGCACCTCCTGTCATAAGGTATGTCCCAAGTGAATCTGGGGTTTATACTCACCTTGTAGCCCTGGACAAGAACTAATAATGCAACCAGGACTCTCTCTGCACTTACATTTGCACAGTCTGCTTTGATACATGGTGGATTATTAAATGGCTATTATTGCCTGTTCGAGTCCCGCCTTGTATTCAAATTTCTCCCAGAGATCTGGAGACTCTTCACCTCATTCATGATCACGCGACCACGCCTTTCCCTATTCCTGGATGTTTACTTCAGTACGGTGCCGTCCTGGATCGGACTCAAAGGCGTGCTAACATGCCGTTAGTGTACACTTACGGTAGCTCCCTGGAAACTAGATCACCTAGGTTGTCCGGTCCAGGTGACTTCTTCGTGTATACGATCTTTGTAGCCTCCGTCATAATGGTAAGTCAAGGGCGTCAGTTGTTTTTGTCAAGATGGCTTGTCCACTTGCTGCCTTCCGGATTTTCCGGGCCTCTCAAACCACCCTGCTCTTTCCCAATCTTCACCATCCCCAAACCAAAAACAAACCTCGCATATCTGCCCGCCCAGCGCATTCTAGCTGAAGCGGTTCCTGGAAACGAGGAAGATCACCCCTGCATCCGTATAGTGCCTACCTCATCGATCCTTTCAGGGCTATATTTGTTGCAGGCATGGTGGGACGACCAGTGAGATAGCTAGCGTGATGCAATGGTTTACGCTGGTGGTTATGGTGCCCTACATTCTGCTATATACCTTATTAAAATTTTTGTTCACCAGATTTTGTTTCTTCGTTCCGCTTTATGTAGCCACATCAATTATCCTCCTGTACTAACAAGCCCAAGCTCACTGCAGGCTGCTTGTTGGGAAGCGTAACTTTTACCTCTGGTGAGCCCGTTGTAGCACCGAGCATGCGTGTATCTACTGATCATACTTCCTAGCTCTGATCATGGCCTTCGTTTACACCTTTTCCCAGGAAAATCGTGGTAGAAAGGCGACATTCTTTGTGGTCCAGATACCGGTGGAATTTCTGCCTTGGGCGATGCTTGCATTCACCTTGGTCACTATTGGATGGCCAGCCGTTCTAAGCGATGGCACGGGCATAGTCGCTGCGCATCTGTATGATTTCCTTACCCGTATCTATCCGGCGTTTGGAGGTGGACAAAACTACCTTGTTACGCCGGCATTCATCAGGAGATTCTTTTCCGATCTCACGCCCCGTGGCGATAACCGTACCTACGGTACTGCTTTTCGGCCAGCGGATCAGACCCAGGCCGCCGCTTCTGAAAGCTGGACTTCTGCGTTCCAGGGGCCATGGAATCGAAGAGGTCCGGGCAGACGACTTGGAAGTGACTGAGACGAGGTCGTAACTACCTAGGAGGGTGCAGAAGCAGAAAAGGGAACATGCAGCAACGGTATGCTAGCAGCAGGAGTTAAGAGTACCCTGAAATACAAGGAGCCGTTCACAAAGGGTTCGCAGTTGCTGCGGCTGGGATTGATTCCTGAAGAGAAAGAAAGGCGCTCGTCAAGCAGGTCTGGGGCGGCCAAGCGACACATAATCGCTAGCATGCTACTTATTCTTTAGCTGTGAGGATTAGCAGTCGGGAGCGTACTGTACGGTAATATTTAATATTGTCTTGGAACTCCATCAGAGACAATATTAATATTTATTATCAAAGAAATTCCACCTACGAGCCTGTTGTATCATGGAGAAAAGTCTAGGTCACGGGACATCGAGCCGGAGGGCGAAATTTCTGCGCTAACGGTATTGGTCGCTCCAGCCTTTGCCGCACTTCTAAAAATTCCTAGACTTTCTTCCTCGCTAGTGCCAGAGCAAAAACCTTAGCTCGGGAAGTGCAATTTTTCCTGCGCCATCTTCCCAACGCGCGCACTTACTTGGCTATCTCAAAACCCTTCAGGCCAGACTGTTCACAATGGCGGTTACAGTGGCTAAGGACGAGATGGACTACACGATTAAGCCAGAGGCTAGTGCCTCCAACATCGATACCTCGGAGTGGCCGCTTCTACTGAAGAATTATGACAAGCGTACGTTCACTTCAAACTTGTGAATATCCAGTCCTATGTAGCCCGTGCTGATTTTGCCATGTCAGTTCTTGTCAGAACCGGTCACTTCACCCCAATTCCTGCAGGCTGCTCTCCTCTCAAGCGTGACCTAAAGTCGTACATCAATTCCGGTGTTATTAACCTCGACAAGCCTTCCAACCCTTCTAGTCATGAGGTTGTTGCTTGGATGAAGCGGATCTTAAGGTATTACTACTCGCCTTGCATGACCAGTCGATTCCAAGATACTGAGACTTTTTATTACAAAGAGCGGAGAAAACTGGCCACAGCGGAACTCTCGATCCTAAGGTCACCGGTTGCTTGATCGTCTGTATTGACCGTGCCACTCGCTTGGTCAAGTCCCAGCAAGGTGCAGGAAAGGAATATGTCTGTGTAATTCGTCTTCACGATAAAATCCCTGGCGGCGAGGCCCAGTTCAAGAGGGCACTCGAGACGTTGACTGGCGCACTTTTCCAGCGCCCACCTTTGATTTCTGCTGTCAAGCGTCAACTCCGCATTCGAACAATCCATGAGAGCAAGCTTTATGAGTTCGATAACGATAGACACCTTGGTGTCTTCTGGGTCAGCTGTGAGGCTGGAACATACATCCGGACCCTTTGTGTCCACCTCGGTCTCCTTCTTGGGGTCGGAGCACACATGCAGGAGCTACGGCGTGTGCGCAGTGGTGCCATGGATGAGAACAGCGGTATGGTGACTTTGCACGATGTCCTAGACGCGCAGTGGATGTATGACAATCAGCGCGATGAGTCTTATCTGCGCAGGGTTATCAGGCCTCTTGAGACTCTCCTTACGACATACAAGCGTATCGTTGTCAAAGACAGTGCCGTCAATGCTGTCTGCTATGGCGCTAAGCTCATGATTCCTGGCCTCCTTCGCTTTGGTAAGTGGAGCCTAACGCAATCACGAGTGCAGCAGTGGCTAATGTCCGCAAAGAGGCCGGTATCGATGTCAACGAGGAGGTAGTACTCATGACTACCAAGGGTGAGGCCATCGCTATTGGTATTGCTCAAATGTCTACTGTTGAGTTGTCTACCTGCGATCACGGTGTCGTGGCCAAGGTCAAGCGGTGCATCATGGAGCGCGACCTTTACCCTCGCAGATGGGGTCTGGGACCTGTGGCTCTGGAAAAGAAGAAGCTTAAGTCAGCTGGAAAGCTGGACGTAAGTCTACGATGCCTAATTCACCAATTATTTGACTGTTCTGACTTGGCATGTAGAAATATGGTCGTGCCAACGAGGCTACCCCCGCCAAGTGGAAGAGTGACTATAAAGACTATAGTGCCCCCGAGGAAACCGTCAGTCAGCCTGCCACTGAGTCCGCCATAAATGAGAATGCGGCTTCTGCCGAAGAGCCATCATCTTCCCAGACGAAGATGGAGGTTGATGAAGACAATGACGAAGAGAAGAAACGCAAACGGCATGAGGGTGAGACTGCTGAGGAACGCGCTGAGCGTAAGCGCAAGAAGAAGGAGAAGAAGGAGAAGAAGGATCGAAGAAAGTCCAAGTCGAAGGAAGAGAGTGATGACAGTGACTAGTCACCTCCGGGAATTACATGGGCCTGACTTGAGAGCAAAAGTTTTCCGGATGAGAATTCCCCTTCTGTTCGGAGCCTCCTCTAGGCAGGAATCCTGTAACATACTTGTTTCTTTGTATCGGAGTCCTGGGTTTGAAAAGGTTATCGATCATCAAATACATGTTTATTTGTCTTAGTTATATGACCTAGGTTTTCTTTCAGTTATAGCATCTCATTGAAGAACATTACTTCATTTTAGTTATGCCGACTTGGTTTTGCGAAAGGGTATCGTGACTTGGGCGGTGTCTCTGCCTTTCCCCACGGCCGCCCCTCTCATACCACTTTGAGGACTTTCTCTACCACCCACTCCTATTGTCTCCAGCTTCCTTTGATCACCCCCTCTCCCTTCTTCTTCTTTTTCTTCTTCTTTTTCTCGGGGACCAAAAACAAGCGAGGTTCTATAACACGTGTCTGAAGTAGCAAAGACTTCCTTCGTCTCTGGTGCGGCCTCTGCGACGTCATGGCGGCGGAGCTTACTTCAACCCGGCTCAATGCGGAGAATCATTTGCTCTTGGTAACTGACAGTCGTCTACAATTTGCCAGTGCCGTCTTGGTTTTAACATCTCTTTATGTCACAGGACCAATCCCTCCTTCGTCTTCCCCATGAACTTGCACGTCGAAACTTTAAGTCTTTTCAACGGCTCGTTGAACGGGAGAGGGAACTTGTTCTTCCCGGACTCAAAGAAATCGCTAATGCCTCAATGTCGAATTCCCGAGCGCCCGACCAAGCCATCGCTGCCCTCGACGCTATGATATCCCGGATGCAAGGAATGAAGCGCAAGATGGAGAATCTGCACCAGGAAGAGAAAAGTATTCATGAGCAGTCCCGAAAACGCATTCAGCACCTTGAAAGTCTTCAGCAAATCCCGAGTTTGGCAGACGTCAAGTACGACCAGTGGTCGCGAGTCAGGTTGAATAGGCTCATTGTCGATCACATGCTGCGCTCTGGCTATATAGAAAGTGCACGTCAGCTAGCTCATGAGAAGGGAATTGAGGGTCTAGTGGATCTTAACGTGTTTGTACAGTGTCAACGTATTGCTGATAGCCTGCGTCAAGGTGAGACAAAGGATGCTCTCCAATGGTGCGGTGAAAACAAGGCGGCATTGAAGAAGAGCCAGGTTTGTGGACATGTCTCATTTTCACTCTTGTGCTCATATGACTCGAAGGGTTAACATCAAATCATAGTATAATCTCGAATTTGAACTCCGACTGCAACAATACATTGAATTGATCAGGAGTGGGGACAGGAAAAGATATGTTGAGGCAATGATGCATGCTAAGAAGTACCTCGCCCCGTATATAGAGACGCAATCCGCCGACATACACAGGGCCGCAGGACTACTTGCTTTTCCGCAAGATACTAAAGCTGAACCTTATAAGGTAAAGAAAGAGCTCGTTATCAGCGAAACACGGTCGCTCAACTAACAAATGTGAAGTCTTTATACTCTCTTGATAGATGGAGCCGTCTTTCCGAGCTATTCATTCGCACTCATCATCAGCTATTGTCACTATCATCCCGCCCTCTGCTTCATATTGCACTATCAGCAGGCTTATCAGCTTTAAAGACGCCCTCGTGTCACTCAGCCTACACTTCTTCAAGTTCCAATTCTCTCTCTACTACAACATCCGTCTGCCCCATTTGCTCTACCGAGCTCAACGAACTTGCCCGTAATATGCCTTATGCTCACCATACGAAGAGCTACGTCGAAAGCGATCCGATAGTTCTACCCAACGGCAGAATTTATGGCCAGCAGCGGCTGATAGATTTGAGCAAGAATGTCGGTTGTGTTGACTCGGGAAAGGTCAAAGATCCAACCACCGGCGAGATTTTTGATGAAGGTGAAATGAAGAAGGTATACATTATGTGAAGACATCAATGCTCGATGCCGGATTCTTCAAATGATCGAAGCTCTTCTTGACATTCCCGTGTGATCTTCTCGACTCGATTCATTCGTATACATATCTAGGTTTAGTTATGGGATTTGGTCGTGTTCTTAATCACTGTCACTATCGAAAGCTTCTCTCGTTCGTTTTTTCCTCGCGCCATGATTAGCTTTGGTCGATAGTGCATTCTTCCCAGGCACTGGTTGGTCATCTCTCCTAAGCTCGAATACATATGTTCTTGCATCCCTATCCTCACCTCGCCATCCGCCTCTGCCTCCACGTTTCCCCTCGATCTCGCCCAGTGTCCGTGCATGCGAATAGCCTTGATAGCAAGCCCACGGGAACTTGAAGCTCGTGACCACTCGCAGGCCAGCATGCCGCGCAAGATCCTTGATGTTCCACAAGGTATAGGGTTCCCCCTCGAATATGGTCACCAGAATTCGACCCGGACCAGACGTATGCTGGTCTTCAGCCTGGCCGGCGGCCGTTATTGAACGTAATGGCTTATTAATTTCGGCGACATCGTCGTCATCATTCTGGCTGGTCTCCGAATCTGAACCTTCATAGTCCTCCCACTCATAACTTTCATCGTCATCCACCAGCCCTGTACTGGGCGATAGCAATGGGATGCAGGCCTTGAAGAAAGCTACCAAGAGTTCTTGGTTGGCACGAACCTGTCGATTGACATCGGTGGAGAGACCGCCGACGTGGGGAAAATTGAAGGAGATGATATCCCATTGCCCACCATCCGGGGCGGAAGCGAGAGCTACATTTCTCGCTTGTTGCCATGCCGGACGCCGACGCTCTCGCCGAGACCAGCCATTGCGAACGTCTCTGCCGCCACCCGCAGGGAGACCCAGTTTCCGAGCATCGACGGAGAACAGGACCTTGGGAAGCTGACGTTTTGGACCAAGCGATGGGTTCTTGTCTTCACTCAAGCTAGCTGGGTTGCTGAATGTTGTGAGAATGTCGTGGATATTGAGATCCACCTGGGGGTATTTGCGCTGAAGAGTCTCCTTGGAGTCATAACAAGTAGCCAGGACAGCCTTGCAGCGATACTGACGGATCAGGGAGCGGGCAAAGGAAAAGTCGCCTAGAGAATTTTGATTAATATTT